CCTCTCACCCCTAACACGTCGCCACACCCTTCGAGCGACTGTGGTGCGGAGCTAGCCGACGGCGAATCGCGTCGCCCCACCGCCCTTTTATTCCACATACCCACATAAACGCGCGTCCCATCCCTCCTCCCGTCGATCCGACAGCAGCACCGGCGGATCGCCGGGTCCCGGTGAAAGTCGAGAGGAATCGCATAAATAAATAGCCACCGATGAGCGCCACGGAGAATCCCGAGGCGCCGCGACGATGAATCACGAGAGCAGCTAGCTGCTGGTGATGATAGAGCCCCCGAGCTCTCATTGATGCAGCCTCTCACTCTCTGTCTCTCTCGTCCTATGCCCCCCTACCCATACGATGTTCCGCGCGTGTGGAATTGCATCATACGAGGTGGATGATTCGGGATCAGTTCGATAAAGATGCGCTGAGAATTTCTGTGTTACGGACTTTATGGGAGATCCTTCGTGGGCTCTTGGCAAGCTGGATTGGACAAATGGGGGTGAACTCGAGCCGTTTTTTAGGGGAATTTTTACCTCGTTTCAACGGTTGTACGAATGTTTTGAAAAATGAGATTGATGAATTGGGTGAAGTGAATCTAGGAATGACTGTCTTTTAGTCCTCTGTGGTGTGAAAGGCTAGCTTGAAGTGCAATATTCACATATGTGTCGCTATTGTAAGTGTTATTCCAAGTGTTCAACTATCCAAATCGAAGATATCTTATAACTAATATTTACATTATCGATGTCAGTGGAGGATAAAATACAACTCAAGGCATAAAGGGTTAAAAGTTAGCTCGAACTATACAAACATATAAATGTTATGCTATTTGCTTGGCAAAGTTGACATTAAAAGATATGAAGAAGCACTTAAATAAATATTTGAGACTGAAATGTACAGAACTCAGAATGCATTAGTGGTTGCTGCAACGTTTACAAGGTGCTAGATTCGTAACAGTATTCGTGTACAGATTACGGTACGCTTCAGGGTAGTTTTTAATCTGCAGAGAGATTTCGGCACAATCAACAACCCCTATTCACCCAGAATAATGAATTCAAATGGAAACACGGAACGTTTGCGAGTACTTGACCCTTCAACAATCCGATAAATTTGCTTTTGCCGTACGAAGAACTCACGAGCAACCTTAATTGCAGTTTTAACTAAACGCGCCTTCCGTAAACTCGTTTTCATTCGGCTTATTATACTCCTGTAATGGCTGAAGCCGCGCTACGCGAGACGAGCAACAAGATACCCACCGGTTAACAGGAGTATTATGACCTAGAAAGTGCGAAAAGCCCAAGACATTTTATATTTATATTAGAGGTGAAAACCACTCTTGAGAGGACCGGAGTAAATGACAGTTTGAATGACGGATTAACGGAACATAATCAAAAGGGGTTGGCAAATTATTTTTGTGAGGGGTCGTTCTAGTCAAAGAACCTTAAACTTACGCTGTTATAATTTTCTTTTGGATGATAGAAATGAATTGTAATATTTCGTTGTTATTATTTACTACGTAACTATATTATAATAATAATAAAATAGTCAACGGTATGCAGTACGTTAAATTTCAAACTGACCGTCTGAGTAAATTTCTTGTTTTTACTAGCGCAAACGTGTTCCAAGATCGCGAAATGTGAGTCTTTGAAACGACCGACCCGTGAAGTACCTATTATTTCCTCCTTTAACAGTCTGCATCGCACAAGCTATTCCGAATGCCAGCGTGAACATTTAAAAGCACCCTTTCAAATGTTTATACCTTCAAAACATGAAAAGAAAATGAAATTTAATTTTTTCTGGGTTCAATTTTTGAAGCCTCGTCACAGTGTCTAAAAAATATTGATACACGCTGAGAAGAAATGAAAATGTGATCGTATGCAACGGCTAGATAAGATAAAAAGTGTTTTCACCGTGCTAGTGTAATAGTACACCCTTCGAAACTACTTCAAGCGAGCCTCCGTACTTTTTCCCACCCCTTGCTGCATCCTCTTCCCCGCTAACCGAGATCCTGTTCTCTCTGTCGCTCGCGTAGCTAGCTCCACTGACACCCATCCGCGTGGAACACTGCTGTTCCAGCGAAACCCTTTCTCTAGTGGTAATGTAGGTGAAAATATAGGGTGACGCGCGATACGCGTCGTTTTTTCTCATTTGAATTGCACCGCACGAGTCCGAGATAATCGATGGTCGACATGGGCTCGTATTAACCGGACCATCGTTAAATTTTTATTTTTTATTATTTGCTTTCTGCGACTTTAGCACTATACTGCCATGGGTGCGTGCTAACCTTGCATGAATGAATGCGCAGCAAGTGTAAAAGAAGCAAAGAGTAAAGCAAAATGATAGACAAGATAAAACTGTGAATGCGTTATGCAGAGAGCATAAAAGAGAATTCCATTAAAGTCATCTTTCGGTTAGACACCGCAAGTTAACAGTCGAAAATAGAAAACCGATGGTTATTTCAGAAACAATATAAATTTTCTATATTTTCGGAAGAAATTCCTCCTTAAATCAACTTTTTCGTGTGCAAACTCTACCATATGGCGGCAATGACGCCGTTGTTCTGGTATGCGTATCAATGTTTAAACGACCTTGAATTCTCCGACTTCCATCTGTGATGATAAAACTGACACAGGTCAGAAAACGCGAATAAAAATATTTTAGTTCGCTTACAAAGCAATTCAACAAATTTTCCATGATTTTCAACCGCAGCGAATATTTTTGAAGTTTGAAGACCAAGGTAGCTTCAAAGTCGAATTTTTGCACGTTTTTCATAGGAATTTAGATGGCTCGCGTAAAGTACCGGGATCGTGGTCGCACAAGATATTTAAATACGGCGATAAAAATACGATCGTCACATTTCGCGACACGTAAAACAGCGGGAACGATAAGCGGTTGCGATAAGTAGAACAATACACATTGTTGGGAGGCACGCGTGAGCGACGATTGCTAACGGTTTCGGACGAAATCCTTGTGTCACCAGATTCCTGATTTCAGCGCGTCGAGTAGAGCTTGCCGAGATACAGCGCAGACAGAGAAAAACGTTCAACGACAGATCTAGAATCGCGGGTTCAAGGCGACGAGAAGAGACATTCCTTTTGTAAAAGAAAACAACTCTAACAGATTTCTGTCGCGTTCGCCACGTTGTACTAGAAATGGACATCAATTGATGCAGGTAGATTTTAGAGAATTGAAAAATATTCGACAAATATATTTTTGTGTGGGTTTCCAATCGTATGTTTAAAAAGAACAAACGAAATACCCTATATTATCAAATATTTTTCATGCAAAAATTGCTCGTTGTAAAAGTATGAAAATTATATTTATCGGAACAGCATTCGTATTAGTGTAAAGTTCCAAGTTTCAGTGGTCATGGTTTTGTCGCGTTAGTATATATATATTGTTTAGGGACTTCTGTTTTGTTTTATTTGAGTTTTGAATTTCCCGCCGTTACAGCATACCAGTCGGTCAAGAAACAATTAATACAGTATACGACGAAGAAAGTAATAGTACGGTTCTTTGATCAATGGAAAAATGTTGAATGCTCGAAATAGCGGACAGTGTCAAGTCGGAGCATACTTTTTTAGCAGGTTCACGCAACAGAATCAGTATTTACATCAACCTGTCACACCATGTGCTTCCCGGTAACTTCCGCAAGGGAACGTTAACGACAGGACTCAATTAGAACACTTAGGAATTTCACAAAAACACAAACGATGCAGACGTAACACAGTTTATGAATACGTAAAGACGTAAAAAATGTTTCAGACTCACCCCTGTCGAACTTCTTGCCCTCTGGGTCGATGTCTTTTACGTTGAAAATATCCTCGAACAGCACACCCGCCATTTTAGACAACTCAAACAGTGTCGCACTCTCGTGGCCAATGTTACGTTTACAGCTAGGAACATAATTTCGGATCGCTAGAATTCGAAAATGTAGGTTAGTCATTTTGGTAAATTAAATTGAAACTTACGAAGCGTAAAGAATGCATATAACATAAAAATGACGTTCCGCTTCATGGAACTTATATTTGAACAATAACACGAATATTGATATTAGAATTTCATATGTGTAAAGATTTTAGAGTAGTTACATACTTTTATGTTCAAAATTGTGTCTATATTAATTACGATAATTAGAAATACTTTCTTAGATAAAGGTTTAATGTACACGTCTAAAATCGATTGTCATAAATTGAATGTATTTGCTCAGGTACCAGTTGTCAAGTTGTATTTGTAACATAATCAAATATGTGACTGATTAAATGTCTCTCATGTTAATGACAAAATATTAATGCAATTGGGAACTAACGATGTTTATTAAATTAGTCGCTTGAATAACCTTGAAATTTTGATTTCTAACGAGCTGGATAGAGGGAGTCACTGTACAGGTTCATGGTTTTTACGCAGCACAATTATCTTTTTACGCAGCTTGAGAGGTTCTATACCGTGATACATGTATAGCAATAAGTACCGACATTATGACGCATATATTGGCATATAACGCGTTACGTAATATTAAGGATTTCAAAATGTTGCGCAATCTCCGAGAAATCTGCATAAATTTCAAGCTATGCATGGTTAAGCAGACACATACGAAAACAATACACCGACGGTTAAAATAATTGTCTGTGCCACTCCGAGAGTCATCAGTTGAAATAACAGCTCTCTCTTGTTCTTATCCAATGAGAATCAGTGGTGAATAACATACATACCCTGATTACTAGTGTACTTACATAGGGTACATACATCTAAATAAGAAAAAATTCCAATTTGAGATTATGTACCTTTTCTCGAATATGCTGGGTTAATTACCGAGTGTTTCTGAATTGGTGTTATACATTACTAATCGCTTATTTTTATATTTCATATTGAAATAATTTGTAATAATAAATTGTTTAAAAAGACTCCTGACTCCATCTACGACAAAATAGTCAAGCTACTAGCATAAATTACAGATTGAGGATAATACAGGCGTCTTGGGTACAGGTTTCTTTCCCAGAATTTTGAATTATCAGTACTTCAAAAATATTTTATTGCACCAGCGTCATGTTCGATGGGAATTTTTGTCTAGGCTTTAGAAAATCAAGAACGCGTATTATTTTGGTATAGGTTGTTGACATTACCGATAATTCGCAAATTTATGCTTCTTCGTGGAAAAACAATACTTTGTACCTACATATACTTCATTTCAACTAGGAGTAGTTCATATGATAGAAACAACACGCACAATATGCACATTTGAAAATAATGTATGTTTGTTTCTAAGCACAAGATAAAATAAAGTAAACTCGGATAATAGCTCAGCCTTACTGTATTTGTGTTGAAAAAAGAAATTATATTATGATATTTGAAAACATTACGTATACTTCCTGATCGTGTAATTACTTTGTACTGACACTAGACAGGAAAGCAATGAAATGACTGCAACTAGTCTTACTTACTGTAAAACAAGACATCACATTTTTAGGCGTACCCATGTCCACTTACAGAATACCGTTTATTCAGTCTTTAAATGTTCAAAAATATAGAACGTATATTACTTTTAATAAAAAGGTGAAATACTTCATATTTAAGAGAAGGATATCACTTAATTCCCTTCGAAGGGTAAACTTTGATAACAATTTTTATAATATATTTTTCATACGTAATGAATTGTGAACAGAAAACGGACCGAGTGGAAAAAGGACTAGTATATTCTTCCACTTATGCTTATGTTTATTTATTAATTGTTGCGACGGAAGTCATCAAACTTGAAAATTTAATAAAAATATTCACAATGAGCATTCTTTCTTTCTTCCGCACATTCAGAACCATTCTTTCTCTCTCTCCCTTCCTCTCTCACTCTCCCTCACACACATATCATTCGATCTCTCTTTCTCTCGCACGCTTTCTTTCTCGCATTCATCTGTTACGCGCACGGCCGTAACATTCTTCGTGAGCTGATGCGCGTGGTATGAGCCAATTTATCAAGAACTCGTATCCAGCACTTGTTGGACACTTGTGTGTGTTGTGTGTGTGTGTTACCTGGCTATGCATGTATGAATGTGTGGTATGATGTATGTATATGTACATTCAATTATTAATAATTATTATTAATAACAACAATAATTAATTAATACGAATAGAAAATCATGTTTCACGGTGAATGACTTGATTCCTTATTTTCAATTTTTTTTCTTTCATAAAGATTCGATGAATGTTCGTTTCCAGAGCAAACGTTTTGTCGTTCATTACGCGTGAAGATATTTTCAGCGATGTCAGTGCAACATGCAAATTCAGTCAAGCGAGGCCTTCAGTTTCGGCGATTTGCTGTCTTAAGAATTATTTTAAAACATTCCAAACAGCGATTAGTCCTTGCTCAACGTCAGAGCTGCCAATGACAATTACATAAAGTTGAGATATCTTCACAATAGTCACTCTGGCATTAAAATTACGATAACAGCATGATTCCCCCATAACAAACCGACCAACAGTCTGATCAGTTTGTATAACTGATTGTATTATTGATTCAGTCCAAAATGACAACCATGTCATCGCCGCGCACTGCTCTCTGCGGATGAGGAGGATGTAATGGAGCTGGTAATCTACGCCAAGGTTTGCGCGCTGCTCTTCGAAGTTCCACGGATGAAAGGGATCTTCTAAGTCTTCTACAAATTCATAGTGAACATTATTAAAACGCCAGTTCGTAAGATACGATGTCCAAACAATGAGAAAAAATTAAAGAAATACCAACTTGGTCTGATCTGAAGCGCGGAAGTAAACGTCGTCAGGTGCGTCCATCCATGAAATCACTTGTTTACGCGCATTACTTCTAGACAAGGGTGGACCGTGAGGCAAAGTATGTGGATGAGCGGCTCTTCCATTGAGTGGCGGTACTAATGGAAGAACAGGAGGTGCGGTGTGTTCCAAAGTATGTTTGGGATGTAACTGTTGAGAATGATGAGCCCTTTTTGCAGGTGGTCCACCAGGGAGCCCTGCACTTAGGGCAATACCTATCAAACATAAAGAAATGCTTGTACGAAGTTTAATAAAGGACCCGATTACTATTACAAGAACGTGAAACTATGAAACCAATGTTCCATATTTCTTTCGGATATAATGATAAATTGTACAACTTAGCAAGTTCGATGATTCGTTTGGTTGTATACATAGACTCTTAGGCATTGAATTATTTTACCTTCATCCCAATCCATGTCAGAGTAGAAGCCAGTAAACAGAGACCACATTCAGTACTAGGACTTGGAACTGTAACGAGTACAATAGATACATGATACTGAAACTTACCATCAGATCCGTTGATTTCGTCAAATGGAGGTCTTGTGCGTTTCATGATTGTTTGTTGCGTCTGCATACTGGGTTGTGGTTGAGGCGGAGTCACTGGAAGCCTATCCACTTCAGACTTATTTGGTACTCTTTCATATAACAGACTTCCATCTATAATGATACCGTCGTGAAGAGTCAGTAAACATGAAATTTTTAAATAGAATTTTATTCTTGTTTTTCTCTGAAGTACTGTTTATCTATATTATTATATACCTGGTGCCTTTGGCGGTCTGGGAAAAGAAACTCGATCAGGTTGTTTTCGTTGTGCTGGTGCCGTAAGGGCTAACCAATCCCAGTCCCCAGGTTGTCGAGGAGCAGGGTGATCACCTAAACGCGTTGCTATGTCTGTGACGCGAGGACGAGGTCGAGGTCGTACAGCTCGTGCTAAAATACGTAACTCTGCAGGACTTTTTGACGTCAACTGAGGTGAAGCGCAAAGGTGTCGCAATGGCGCTGCATTTACAGGTTGATGGGGTGCTCGTGCCGCGTGACGTGTGCGTAATTGCGCTGCACATAGTCTTCGCGCAGCACGCGCTAATGCTGAAGTACGTAAATAAAATGCAGAACGAGTTTTCATAACAGGCCTGGGGGATCCACCACTACCTCCTCCACTTGCTCCGCTTCCACGTAAATCAACACCATGAGCACTTGCATAATGGCGACTCAGATGCGCCTTGAGCTTAAATTCTTTCCCGCAAGAAGGAATGCTACATCGATGAGGTCTATGAGCACCACCAATTCCTTTACTTTCTTCATCTGAGCCTGCGCCGCCTCTTTTTCTTTCTAAGTCAACATCATCGATACGTGATGGAACCTACACATATAATGATGAAATATACTATCTACAAACAGAAATAAAAATATTTTATTGAATAGTCACTTACGTATAAACCTACCTTGAGGCCACCGTATTTCTTCCAGTACGTCCAACATGATTGACAAAGACGGCATTGCATATGCGATGGACCCCAAGCGTACCACTGTGGACTCTGCATAACTTGACAACTTTCGCATGGTTTTCCGCCAACCCCGACCATCAGTATACCAGAATTATCAGTCGCCATACTACCATTGCTATTGCCATTGAGAACACTGGTTGGTTTTCCGTTACTGTTGCTATTATTGTTGCCGAGAGGTACAATTGTTGCCGCGGAAGGTGCAGTTGTAGGTGGAGCTGTCTTATTATAATTTGGTATGTAAACCTGTTTTAGTTTACTTTCAGCTTCTACAGCCTTTACCCTCTTTTGTTGTACATATCTATCAGTTGTTTTCCACATGTAATAGTATTCGATAACGTTCTTTAAAGTTTTCCACGGCAACTGAAATATTAACATATTTATTGCAAAAAAACCGATCTAAAATTAAAATTTTATTGATAGTTATCTTATAGCGCATACTTACAAAATCTTGACGAATATCAGCGAAATCTTTGCCATATTTATCAAGAGCCTCCTCAAAAAGATTAGCTTCAGATGCACTCCATTCTTCCATTTCATCTCTGCATAATACTGGACCAGTACTAGGCACTAAAGATGACATTGCTTTTGCGACATCATAATTATGCCGATGCAAAGTATCCATTGCGTGGAACTACAAAATGTAAAAGAAAATGATTAACTCGATATGTTGAAACTCATTAACAGTGCAATAACGTATTGTGATATAATGATATTTACAAGAGTAATATCTCTCGATGCAGCTGCTGCAGACATATGTAAAGAGGGTTGTTTAACTGAAGATGAACAGTCTAATGCTCTTGCGAATGTGCCTACTGATCTACTGACAACAAGGAATTGATCGATTTGTCGATCTGTTAGCGAATGTCGCGGAGTCCAAACCAAAGTCTCTAAATCCTGCAACCTACGAGGATCTGATTCTCTTTCAGCGGGAGTAAGTGGAGCTGGAGCTATACCATCAGCTTGATATTTGCTGCCTACTCTAATTTCGCCTGCAAAATTACATTAATGTAAGTTGAAAACAAAGTGTATGAAGTAAACAATAATTGTAATGTTCAAACATCACTTATGTACTTTAATACCTTTGTCAGCAAGTAAAGTACGTTGAGCAGGATCAAATACTAAACAATAGAAGAAAGAATCTTCTTTATTTAGATAGCTCAGTAAAGATTCTGTTTCATTTAACAATGTTACACAGCATTTGCCCCTTATATGCGTCGCAGGCATTGTTTCTACCTGTCGCGATAGAAATAATTCTCTGTGCTTCATTTGATGACGTTGTTTAGAACTTAATTCTGTAACACCTCCAGCACCTACTACATTGTCTTCAGTCCCTGTGTATAAATACTTTCAATTAGAATGTACTTCATCTATAGAATATTAAGATTAATAGTAGACAAAGCTTAACTGAAAAATATCTCACATAAGAATAAAGAAAATAAAAAAAATACTAAAAACACAGAATACTCGAAATGTTTTAATAAATTTATTGCTTTATATTTAAACACAACATTTGCGAGTTTTATCAGATACTTCAGCATAAGTTGCTTATATTAATAAAACAGTGACGTGGAAATATCTTCTTTTAGTACAGAAATTCTTCCTAAAGGCTGTTAAATTTATTCATGCAGTTTTGGACTCTCCATTCTTTATCTTCTTCCTTGTTTGAACACAGACAAATTAAATGTAAATGAAACGCAGGAATGTGGCAGAATCAATGAAAACTTACAACACTTAACTAAAAATATCAGCAAGAGCGGGCAACAAAAAAAGAAATAAAAGCAATCTTAAATGATAGATTACCTATCATAATAAAAACAAAATTAACTCTTGAATAAATGTAAATTGTTTGAAGAAGCCTCAGATTACTAAAGAATTATCATTTAATGCGGCGGGATTTTTTTTTTAATGAGTGGATGATTGTGAAGGTTAATTTTAGGTATTGGAAACTGAATACGAATAGATCAACATTATGACCTTCTAAGAGAAAAATAGATACAAACAGGTAGTAGAATTGATAGGATAAAAAATGAATATGTTCATGATGATGTATTGTCATATAATGTATAGGTTCATAAAGTTTCACAACTTTTCGGAAACTGTTGAAGCACTCTTCTACATAACTTCTTAGAAGAGTTCTTGGATAAACCTACTTTATTGTCTCTTTGGCCTTACAGTGAATACAACCCAAATTAACGGCGTTCACCAAGATTACAAAGAAGTTTATAAATCCCGCCGCCAGATCATTAGCCTTAAATCATCACTGGCTTCTACATGAGACTAATGAGACAATCAAAAGGTACGCATTATGGGTTACTTACTGATGAATCCCTGTACAATAATTTTTATGACACATAAGTAACTTGGGTTTGAAGACACTTACACAGTGCTTACTATATAATAACATATAACACAATGAATAATATATAAAAGTTTCAGAAAAATCAATCTACCATTTCCTCGTGTCACAAACCCTATATTTGTTGCATCTTTTAAATTCATTTATTATGGATTTAAAAAAATGGTATATATGTTACCAAGATTCATCTGTAAGAAGTACCTTTTAATCGACTGCTCACTCACCATGAGGCTCTTGGGCCTCTGATAGTGGGGCTTTCAGCCAGCCCCCCTTCCCGCCCCCTTTGTTCATCACTTTGGGCCCAATCCCATCTTTATTAGTCATTTCCTTAGTAGTATCTGGATTCTCGAGTTTCTGACTCTGCGTGTTTGCAGGGGATTCTGACCTCTGCTGCTCCGCACTTGCCACTGCAATTTGTATCATAGAACCCACTCTACTATTTCTCACTACTTTCCTTTTTTGTTTTTAATACAATTTTAATACATGCTCTTATACCTTCTAATGGAAAAGAATTCATAACATATTATAGATCCATTATTCAATGGCTTTATTAATTGAAATTTCTTGTCACATGATAACATATAACTGATTAATAACTATGTTATAGAAAAAATAATTTTGATTCTGTCAACCAATTCCAATCGCGTTTCTATTTACAACTGCATTCTCTCAGTATGACTAAAGTGTGTAGTAAGTAACACATTACATATATATGAATTAAAAAATTGTAATAATTGCTTCAATACACTGCACATGTATATTATATGATGAGTATTTGATAAATAGTAATACTTTATTATACTAACAATCACCATAAAATATAATATTTTTAAAAACTAAAGTGTTAAGTGAATTCACATTATACAAAACGAAGATCTAGTACAAAAAAGCAGGGTTAAGTCTCAGAAAACAACCCTACTTTGAAGTATAGCTATTATTTGATATGAAAGTAATTATAATAATCTGTAAGAAATATCTATATTATATCTTTTTCATTAACATTAAACAAGACTGTTTAATATATTACAAAATTTCTTAATCACATATTTTTCCTTCTATAGCATCTTCATTTCTATATCGTGATTTTCTTAAGAAATCTATTCCTTTCATCTATATACTATTTCAAACAAATTTATTGAACTTGCACAATTTCCTCCTAAATTTTATATATCATTGAAAAATATAGTGTTACACTATAAGTTTTCTCAATTCTCTAACAGTGTAAAAGCAAAATCGTGTTGTAGAAAGATCGTATTCGGGGGTTCTCCATAATTCCACCACACCGAAGTGTTCGTTCATGATTCCCGCCATAACAGTTGCTTCCAAACTCTAGGAAACAAAAACCCTAAGAAATCTATCGAATAATTAAACAATGATTCTACTAGGATTTGAATTAGAGAAGATGTGAAATTGGACCCCAACGAATCTCAATCGATATCCAGAAATTCTTGGAAATGAATGAAACATAATTCTGGACTATGGATTCTCGTCACCAAAAAAACGGGGTAAAAGGGGGACCCCCTCTGGAAGCACCCGATCCCCGGGGAACGCGTCCTTGCCGTAACCTTTTCATACTACGTTCCATGCATGAAAATATCGACTCTCGGCAAGACAAAGGTTCGTGAACATGTGTATTTATATATAAATATATATATAATATATACACACATACATATATGTGTATATA